AAACTACTGGACGTAAATTTGCCTAGAAAAACCACACAACAGCCAGGAGCTGTTGGGGTTGCTTCTGCAACGTCCTGTAAAAGGATACGCAAGTAACCATTATTTTTTTTCTCTCAGTATGTTTAACATACTACTGCATAATACATAATTCAAGCCTAAATTCTTAACATTTCTGCTGATGGTGCAGTTATCCTGGTCTCTGGATAGTAAAACCAGATGCCCATGTGTATTCTAATGCGCTTAAAAATCACTTAGCAGTAGGAAATCGAAAAGAGTAGCCTAACGGTGCTGCCTAGGCAATATTTGGAGTAAAAAATCTACCAAAAGTATTTCAGGATCCTCGCCGGTGCTATGGAGTGCACTGCACTGAGATTTTTTAGACTCAGGCTTGAGTTAGAAGTAGAATGGAATACTTATGGGTTTCACCGGTGTGCATTAATGTTGATCAGTCTAATAAATATAAAACACTGATGAAACGGCTAATCGACATGTACACAAAACAAAATGATTAATTGTTGATTAATTAATTAACTAACTATTTTTCTCAGTTTTGAAAACAGTCTTAGCTTTAACAATTCTTCTCATGTCTCACAGTTTGGAACACAACCTTTACTTAAATGTTTAATTGTTAATTTGTTTATGGTATTTTTTGGATTATTTGAAAATAGTATTAAAGAGGTAAGTAAATGTATAATTATTTGTGTGTTATGTCATTAATTACACATACACACATAATTACAAAGAACAGGCCATTTGTGACTACTGTTCTGAAAAATTTAGCTGTACTTTAAGTAAAAAAAAAAAAATACATGTGGTGACATATTGTAATCATGATTGTAGTATTATGTAATGTAACAAACATGTGGTGCAGTCTTATTAACTTAGTTTTATGCAATGTAACAAACATGTGGTGTCATCTCTCTGCTATGATTGAAGTGTTGATGTTTGCTATATCTCTCATCCATTGACCAGGCCAGGACAGGTGGTTGACCTCCTGCTATACAACCCAGGAGGCAGCCGTGGCCACGGATCTTAAAGCTGGCACAATTTACAGATTCCGAGTGTCAGCCACCAACAGGTTCGGGACCAGCCACTACAGTTGGGCTTCTGTTGAGACCAGAACTGCATCAGAGGGTTGGTGGGCTTTGTTGTGTTTGTTGTGTAGCTAGCTATTTATTAGGCACTGCATCAGAGGGTTGGTGGGCTTTGTTATGTTTGTTGTGTAGCTAGCTATTTATTAGGCACTGCATCAGAGGGTTAGTGGGCTCTGTTATGTTTGTTGTGTAGCTAGCTATTTATTAGGCACTGCATCAGAGGGTTAGTGGGCTCTGTTATGTTTGTTGTGTAGCTAGCTATTTATTAGGCACTGCATCTGAGGGTTAGTAGGCTCTGTTATGTTTGTTGTGTAGCTATTTATTAGGCACTGCATCTGAGGGTTAGTGGGCTCTGTTATGTTTGTTGTGTAGCTATTTATTAGGCACTGCATCAGAGGGTTAGTGGGCTCTGTTATGTTTGTTGTGTAGCTAGCTATTTATTAGGCACTGCATATGAGGGTTAGTAGGCTTTGTTGAGTTTGTTGTGTAGCTAGCTATTTATTAGGCACTGCATCAGAGGGTTGGTGGGCTCTGTTATGTTTGTTGTGTAGCTATTTATTAGGCACTGCATTTGAGGGTTGGTGGGCTCTGTTATGTTTGTTGTGTAGCTAGCTATTTATTAGGCACTGCATCTGAGGGTTAGTAGGCTTTGTTATGTTTGTTGTGTAGCTAGCTATTTATTAGGCACTGCATCAGAGGGTTAGTAGGCTTTGTTGTGTTTATTGTGTAGCTAGCTATTTATTAGGCACTGCATCAGAGGGTTGGTGGGCTCTGTTATGTTTGTTGTGTAGCTATTTATTAGGCACTGCATCTGCGGGTTAGTAGGCTTTGTTGTGTAGTTATTTGTTTTGTTAGTTGAGTTGTCTGGTAATAACTGAAACTACTATCCATGGAGCATGACCACACTGCAGTTGTCCAGACCATCCGCTAGGACATCCAGTTGACCACTGTTCTCCGCCGGTTCAACCCCAAGCTCACTTTCCCTTACTTAAGGTAGTTCATGTGGCTTCTGTGGTTTTTGTGCACATCATGACAATCACATGTTCACTGCTTTTGCTGCCAGTCCCACACTCACCCGATCTCCACTCTTACCATGATCATGTCAATATCCATGATACGTATTTCCAAGATCAGTACTTCCAACATAAGTATCTCCAGTATCAGTATTTCCAGTGTATGTATTACCAGTATCAGTATTTCCAGTGTATGTATTCCGAGTATCAGTATTTCCAATATATGTTTGTCCTCTGTATTCCTAGTATCTATATTCTCAGTATCAGTATTTCCAGTATATGTTTGTCCTCTGTATTCCTAGTATCTATATTCTCAGTATCAGTATTTCCAGTATATGTTTGTCCTCTGTATTCCTAGTATCTATATTCTCAGTATCAGTATTTCCAGTATATGTTTGTCCTCTGTATTCCTAGTATCTATATTCTCAGTATCAGTATTTCCAGTATATGTTTTTCCTCTGCATTCCGAGTATCTATATTCTCAGTATCAGTATTTCCAGTATATGTTTTTCCTCTGTATTCCTAGTCTCTATATTCTCAGTATCAGTATTTCCAGTATATGTTTGTCCTCTGTATTCCTAGTCTCTATATTCTCAGTATCAGTATTTCCAGTATATGTTTGTCCTCTGTATTCCTAGTCTCTATATTCTCAGTATCAGTATTTCCAGTATATGTTTTTCCTCTGCATTCCTAGTATCTATATTCTCAGTATCAGTATTTCCAGTATATGTTTGTCCTCTGTATTCCTAGTCTCTTTATTCTCAGTATCAGTATTTCCAGTATATGTTTTTCCTCTGTATTCCTAGTATCTATATTCTCAGTATCAGTATTTCCAGTATATGTTTGTCCTCTGTATTCCTAGTCTCTATATTCTCAGTATCAGTATTTCCAGTATATGTTTTTCCTCTGCATTCCTAGTATCTATATTCTCAGTATCAGTATTTCCAGTATATGTTTGTCCTCTGTATTCCTAGTCTCTATATTCTCAGTATCAGTATTTCCAGTATATGTTTTTCCTCTGTATTCCTAGTATCTATATTCTCAGTATCAGTATTTCCAATATCTATATTTCCAGGACCTGCACAAATTGTGTCTGACAATTTTTTCGACGTGACCAAATTGAGGTCTGCGCAGACGACCATACGACCCACCTTACCCACAGATGTGGAGGACATCATCCATGAGGAAGAAATCACGGATGAGGAATCAGAGCCCAAGCTAAATTCCACTTCTGTTGATTCGGTGTACAATATCGGAAGTGTACTTTACAAGTAAGGACTCACACTGAGGTTTTCTCCTTGTGTTATTGTAGATCTGTCCTTGTATTAGGACTCTCCTAATCACAAATCCCTAATTAAAATGTTATTGTTACATGATTATTGTGTTTCTGTTTCGAATCTTTGCATTGTTTTTTCTTCTTCTACTTCTTCTTCTTTCTACTTCTTCACTGCTTATGCTGTAAAGTGTTGCAGAAAGGAGTTATGTGCAGTTTCCCGTCTACTGCTTTGTTGCAAAGCTTGTGTTAATGTCACATTGTGTTTCTATATTGTCTCTTTTATTCACTCCACCCATCTCTTGGTCTGCATCATGTAGCCTGCTGTTCTCATGCAGTAGTACACTTTAGCTGCTGGCTGTTTTTTTGTTTTTTTTCTGATCCCATTACTAGATCATTAGATTCTTTATTGATTGTTTCATCAGTGGTGTTAAAATGATTAGGGACATGGAAATACCTTTTTTTGTGAGTTATAGTATGTTTATGTTTTTTTGTGTGTGCAACTTTTCTGCTCTTGTTTATGACCTGGCCAGGATTGGGTTGAAGAATATGAAATAAGCAAAAGGCATGACTTCATTTCCCTATCCAAGCTGGAGGAAATGAGGGTGAAAGCCAGAGCTGCCAGACATGAGAATTTCACAAAGGGCATAAGATGTTTGACTAATCAACACAGAACATGTGTTACCAAAAATTCTGCATTATAGAGGATGATATCAGAGCACTTTTCAATCTGACCAGTGTGTTCAAGGATATACATCAAACAGCAGGTCCTATACAGAAAATTGCTCTCCTCATGGAACCCCTAGAAGTCTCTCTTTATCTAGCTAATTATGCAGCCCTATGTGCTTTCATAGCCTATGCATCTTCAGTGTCTTGTGTCCACTTTCATGTAGGTAAGTCTCTGTACAATTTTACGGAAAATGCACTCTCCATCACTGTATTGTGAGGCTCCATCTAACATTTGACACACACCTCCATGACATGATTAACCCATTCTTATGGCCGGAAGACAACTAAAAGACCACTATAATCATGCGCAAAATATTTTCACATTTCAGGTCTATCCAAACCCAGAAACTGTTTTTAGTGCTTTTTGGCAAAGTAAAATACTCAAAGTTTTAAGACTTTAAATGGTGGTCCAAAGGACGTTATATTGAGAAACTCGCTTTCCTAAAAAATACTCCTGGCCAAATCAGGAGATGAAACCAAGGAGGAAATATCAGAAATGAAAGGGCAAGAGGAACACAGTTGACAACAGGATAGGGAATGAGCGGTCTGACATGGAGGACAGAAGCATTAAGCCCAGAGACGGCGCACATACCAGAACTTTAGCCATGAAAGTGGCACAAATAATCAAGACCACAAATATAGCGGGAGACTGTTGGCAGGTTCGGCTAGCTAGCACCAGGTTGAATGTGGTTGAGTTTTTGATTTTTTTCTCAAAATGAATTGGAATGGAATTGGAATCCATCAGCGTTCTCTCCAGACCACCATGGACTCGATGATAGTCCTGGCTAATCTCCCTACATTTCTGTTACTCAGTATTTCATTGTACATAAGTAATCTTGCCACAATAACTGTGTTTGCTGACAGTAAAGAGAGGATTGTTTCCATCCGCAGGGGCAGGTTTTATGAAGTGAAGTCTGTGACATTACCCTCTGACAATGACAAGAAGTTCATCCTGAGAACTGTGCCGTCTACTGTAGGGCTGCAGGAATTCAACATCCTGAAGTCACTGAGGCACGAGCGGCTGGTGCGTCTGTTTGCGGGCTACACCAGTGCTGACTTTGTACACTTGGTTCTGGAATATACTGAGGGTGACCACATTGCACGACACTTGTCTGAAAGACGCAAGTACTCTGAGAACACTGTGGCTTCTGTAATTCGACAGGCAAGTATTGATATGGGATTTAATTGTGCAGTTTGTCATTTTGTTGACCTAGTGAATGAATAAGCAGAGTTTGGTTTAGACAATAACACTGAAAAAATAAAAACATTGGTAATTAACAACGGAAAAAAGCGACAAACAGTAAACATCACAGTAGATAGAGAGATATTAGAACAAGTAACAGTTTTCTCCTATCTAGGACATGTAGCAACAGATGATGGTAGAGAAGAAACAGAAATCAAAAAGAGAATAGGAATGGCTAAAACAACCTTCAGTAAGATGCACAAATTACTGAGAGCTAGAGAGATAAGGAGAACCTTAAAAATGAGGGTCAGCAAATGTTACTTACATTAACCCTGCTGTATTGTGTAGAAACTTGGACAATGAACAAGCAAACCAAATTTCTTTGTAAATGTGGATATACGGAAGAAAAGTAGAATTTCATGGAAACAAAAACAGTCCAATACAGAGGTGAAATGAAAAGAGAATTAGAAAGAGGTAAAAATCCAATAACTTTAGCTACATTAAATGACAGGCTTTTAAAAATCAACCTTGAGGGAAAAGTCCAGGGTAAGAGAGCAAGAGGTTGTGTGACACAGTCGTCTCTTTTGTTCTCAACCCAGGTTTACTTATTGTTTGTCACAAGGGTGGCGGATGATTATTTACAGACGAGGAGAAAGATGGTCGTGTCGTTAATGGTGACGATGATGCACGCCTAGCACTCGTTGCATGCCTCTCACGTGCCTTGGTGGAATAATAAAGTGTCTGGAAACGACTATGCTCTCCTTTACACTTCTTTAATATGATACTTCAACAATGTCACACAATTAAAAATGATATTCTTTATTTACTTTGTAAACTGGTTCTATTGTCTTTAACTGCCACCGGCTACTAGTGCAGGTTGGGCTAAAAGGGTTTGTTATCTAATGCCGTCTAACTACTTATCTATGCTCTGGCCTCTTCTTCGTCCGTCTCCGAGTCAGTGTCTGTCCCCGAAGTGGTATCTACACCTGAATCCGGCTGGACCCATAGTCGATGATAATAAATGTCGACTTCTCTTACGGTGAAACGGTATACCCGAGCTGTTCCATCATCTGAGGCTGTTGCCTCAGTCTATCTCCGTTTGTGTCTTGTCTCTTCTCTATCTGTGTCTATCCTCTGTCTGTCCCCGACTATCCTCTGGCCTGTCTGTTTATCCTCTGGTCTGCCTCCGTCCTCTGTGTATCTGGCCTGTCCGTCTCGTGTGTGTCAAAGGTTCCGGGCAATCGTTTATAAAGGGGTTACTAGCCTGCTCCCAGGTGGCTCCTATCCCTCGTTGTTTTGCAGATTCTGCAGCTGGCCGGGACATTGGAATTCTAATTAATTGCTTTGGTGCTGGACGGGGAGAGTCACATGTCTAGTCAGACGACTCAAGAGGGAAACAAGAGTAGGGACTTAGGGGGGATATAAGTGCTTGTTAAGCACAAGTTCTAACAATAAGGGTGAAGGCCACAAGGGGTCTTGTCGTGCAAACAGCACAACACTAAAAAGGGGGTAGGGGTACTGACTTTGCTACAGTTGGCAATGATACAGGGGGGAGGACGAGATTGAGAAATGAACAAACAACAGTCTGAGAGATTGTCCAACCAAGAAAAGAGATAGAGTGTGTTGGAGATCCAATACAGCCAACCTTCACTGTGGAGACGGCACCTGATTGATTGAATGATCACTCTGTTAGATGTCACCTCTGTAGTAAAGGTTGACTTCAGTTGATCTTTAACAGTGTCACTCACCCTGGTTGGTTTCAGTTGATCTTTAACATTGTCACTCACCCTGGTTGGTTTCAGTTGATCTTTAACATTGTCACTCACCCTGGTTGGTTTCAGTTGATCTTTAACATTGTCACTCACCCTGGTTGGTTTCAGTTGATCTTTAACATCGTCACTCACCCTGGTTGTACACCGTGACACTGATGTTTGAACATCGGTTGGTGCTATCTTCCTATTTGTATTGCTGTTTAGGGCTTTGTATCCAGGGCTTTTTTTTTTGGCTGATGACACACAGGGGTGTGCAGTACCAGCACATTTCTTTTTTAAGACAGTTTTCCAGCACTGCTGCAATAGACACATGTAGGGAATACCGGCACCATTTTTTAGTTAGCTAGAAAAAGAAAACCCTGCCTGTCTTTAACTGTTCTCTCCAGTATGGTTTTTCACACATGTGGTATAGGATAGGAAACACACCACAGTGTAGATAATGCAGCTTTAGGCTCTGAGCATTCATGATATTTATATAGACATCTCTAGGTACACTTAAATGTCAGCAAGTGTATTGCAGAGTAGGGTATTCATTTACCCCGGCCTCATAACAGATTACTTTGTCATTTGAAAGATAAAATCATGCTGATGCTGCCATTGCCATCTGTCACACACATATTATATTAAGCCTTTGTATCTGAATATTTAGTTCATCTATTTCTGTCCCAGTATGTCTTTGTTCAACTCCTTTAGACCTGAGTGTTTACTGCTTCTAAGCTCAATTCCTTTGGTTAGATGGAGTTGAAAGAAATAACTGTTTGGGGCTGAAATAGTTATGCCTGGGGAAATAGACAAGGCCATTTTGCTATGAAAGAAAAGAGGGAAATTTCTGTATTATGCATGCCAAGAAACTTAATATGAAAACTAATCATTTCTGTACTTGATAACTTTAGACACTGAAGATATTTTTGGAGGGGGAAATACCCTGGTGACCCAGCATAGCACATGATGATGATTCACATAGACACTGCTAGATGAGAAGATGCGCTGCTTCAGTAATTACTACTACCTCTGTTTGTCATTAGGTGTCTCTGTATTTCCTGCATGATTTGCATGCCCTGGAGTATGAGTATTATCTCTTTGTTATATTCAGGCACAAAAATTGAGCTAATCTTAGTTTTCAGCTTTAAAGCAAACAGGTCATTCCATAGTTGCCCCGCTCCTGTGCCAACAAAACAAAATAAACACACAGAATGTGCCTTTTCTGTCCCCCTTGTGGAAAAATTGGCTGCTGTCTCAGCATATCCATTAGCATACACACGCATTACAAGAATAAGGCAGCCACCAGAAGTGCTAACACAAACAGTCCAACATTAGAAGTGCAGTTCATCATCGATGGAAGTAGCAGTTGCAAAGTTGCAAACATATCAGCAGTTGCACAGACGATCAATTTTCATCACATAAGACACCACCATTTCTGTGGCAATAGGCCACGTGCCATTTTCTGAATCAACACACCATGTTAGTCACAACTGAAAAATGTCCCAAATGAAATATGCAGCTCACAGTAACACGCCATGCACTTAACTCTGTAGCTGTGGGACAAAGCAATATCCTTTCAGTCTACAAATGGAGGAAAATGCAAAGGCCACTGTCTGTCACAAGCAAACAGTTTCCCATGACTAAGAACAGTGACTGTGCCTATCGTCCGTTTTGACCAGAACTAACCTTAGTTTATGATGTCTCATGTTGGTGAATACCATAATGATGAATTTCCTTATTTAATTAACACATTTGTTTATTCATCATCATCCTGCTCTGCTGTAATGCAGCACAAAGGTTCGATCTACCATTCTATTCTATCCACATAACTTCTGCATTTGTCCTATTTGTCATTAAGTGTTTCTGTATTTCCTGCAGGTTCTGTATGCCCTGGAGTATCTTCAGAGAAACAACCTGGTCCATTTGAACCTGCAGCCAGCCTCCATCGTGGTGTCCAAGCTGGAGGGATGTGAGGTCAAACTTACTGATTTCTCATTGGCCATCAGGGTATCCACACCAGAAGGAGATGTTGCTCCCAGACGGGGACATGCTGATTTCATTCGTAAGCTTATGTGTCTCTGTTGATGATATTTTGTGGAGTATATCATGATATTGCCTGTCAGACAGATCTTGGGTTTGAATCTGAATGGGAGCATGTTTTTAATAAGTGATCTAGGTCCAAATTAACTCCTGGGAAATGAAGCCGGCTGGCAGGAAGCTTCTAATTAGTATACTCTTATGACATATGACTCCATCACAGTGGGTCTATACTTGTTTTCCCCACAATGGAGAGCCTGAATCCCACAAGGGGAGTAACATTTATTTGAAGCTCACAGCTTCAGATTGACTTACAATTTATTCTTTTTTAAAATCCTCAACATATCAACACAAATTACCAGAAGGGGCTGGTAACAAGAGCACACAAATTGTAACCAAATTTCAACAAAATATTTTATCTTGGTCAGTGAATGTATGGATATTATCCCTGTATGGGTTCCAGGGACCCATTTTGAAGGGACAAGAACAGACTCAGTGCTCTCTAACAAGCATTTCATAAAGGATTATTAATCAGAGGCTTGATAAAATCGGATGTTGGGTTGAAAGGTACAGATATCACAGTCTAGTTAAAAACCACAACACAGTGTGCCACCCACCTGTTTAAAGGTGAACAGAGAAGAAGAAGAATACATAAAGATATTTAGTAAACAGTGAGAGGATATTATCAGTATGATGTGTCTCAGTTGATGAACAGTGAGAATATGTCAGGAATATTTGGGAATAAATTGCATAATTTTATGACAACTGTAGAAACAATGAGTAAGTATTATTATTATACATATCAGTAATGACAGCTATAGAAACAATGAGGAAGTATTATTATGATACATCACAGTAATGACAACTGTAGAAACAATGAGTAAGTATTATTATGATACATCACAGTAATGACAACTGTAGAAACAATGAGTAAGTATTATTATGATACATCACAGTAATGACAACTATAGAAACAATGAGGAAGTATTATTATGATACATCACAGTAATGACAACTATAGAAACAATGAAAAAGAATTATGATACATCACAGTAATGACAGCTATAGAAACAATGAGGAAGTATTATTATGATACATCACAGTAATGACAACTATAGAAACAATGAGGAAGAATTATGATACATCACAGTAATGACAACCATAGAAACAATGAAGAAGAATTATGATACATCACAGTAATGACAACTATAGAAACAATGAAGAAGAATTATGATACATCTCACTTATGACAACTATAGAAACAATGAGGAAGTATTATTATGATACATCACAGTAATGACAACTATAGAAACAATGAGGAAGAATTATGATACATCACAGTAATGACAACTATAGAAAAACAATGAAGAAGAATTATGATACATCACAGTAATGACAACTATAGAAACAATGAAGAAGAATTATGATACATCACAGTAATGACAACTATAGAAACAATGAAGAAGAATTATGATACATCACAGTAATGACAACTATAGAAACAATGAAAAAGAATTATTATGATACATCTCACTTATGACAACTATAGAAACAATGAAGAAGAATTATTATGATACATCACAGTAATGACAACTATAGAAACAATGAGGAAGTATTATTATGATACATCCAAGTAATGACAGCTATAGAAACAATGAAGAATAATTATGATACACCACAGTAATGACAACTATAGAAACAATGAAGAAGAATTATGATACATCACAGTAATGACAACTATAGAAACAATGAAGAAGAATTATGATACATCACAGTAATGACAACTATAGAAACAATGAAGAAGAATTATGATACATCACAGTAATGACAACTATGGAAACAATGAAGAAGAATTATGATACATCACAGTAATGACAACTATAGAAACAATGAAGAAGAATTATGATACATCACAGTAATGACAACTATAGAAACAATGAAAAAGAATTATTATGATTCATCTCACTTATGACAACTATAGAAACAATGAAGAAGAATTATTATGATACATCACAGTAATGACAACTATAGAAACAATGAGGAAGTATTATTATGATACATCACAGTAATGACAACTATAGAAACAATGAAGAATAATTATGATACATCACAGTAATGACAACTATAAAAACAATGAAAAATAATTATTATGATACATCTCACTTACGACAACTATAGAAACAATGAAGAAGAATTATGATACATCACAGTAATGACAACTATAGAAACAATGAAGAAGAATTATGATACATCACAGTAATGACAACTATAGAAACAATGAAAAAAGAATTATTATGATACATCTCACTTATAACAACTATAGAAAGAGTGAGGAAGTATTATTATGATACATCTCAGTAATGACAATTATAGAATGACATCTGTAGAAACATTGAGGAAGTGTTATTATGATGTATCTCAGTGGCTGAGATCTGTAGGAATAATGATGAAATCTTATTTTGATGCATCTCAGTTAGTGAAAGCTATAGAAACAGAAAGAAACAGACCCAGGATGACTCCGATTTATGACCAGTTTGTTCTCTTCTGTTGCAGCTCCAGAAGTTGTAGTCAAAGATGTGGCTGGCTTCCCTGCAGATATCTGGGGAGTGGGCACACTGGCATTTTTACTGTGAGTGTTAGTGTGGAGTGTTTTACAATGAGTGTTATAGTAGTGTTTTCACTGGGAGTGTTACTGTGGGGTGTTTTACAATGAGTGTCATAGTAGTGTTTTCACTGTGAGTGTTACTGTGGAGTGTTTTACAATGAGTGTTATAGTAGTGTTTTCACTGGGAGTGTTACTGTGGGGTGTTTTACAATGAGTGTCATAGTAGTGTTTTCACTGTGAGTGTTACTGTGGAGTGTTTTACAATGAGTGTTATAGTAGTGTTTTCACTGGGAGTGTTACTGTGGAGTGTTGTACAATGAGTGTCATAGTAGTGTTTTCACTGTGAGTGTTACTGTGGAGTGTTTTACAATGAGTGTTATAGTAGTGTTTTCACTGGGAGTGTTACTGTGGAGTGTTGTACAATGAGTGTTATAGTAGTGTTTTCACTGGAAGTGTTACTGTAAACTTTTTTACTGGGAATGCTACTATAGAGTGTATTTTTTTTAAACTGTGAGTGTTACTGTAAGGTATTTGTACTGTGAATGTTATTACTAAAGTGTTGTGGCTGTGATTAGTGTTGTCTGGACATTGTTTATGGTTTGTTTGGTCTGCAAATTGTGCTGTCATGGTATCTGTTGTTTGTTTTTGTTTTGTTTATAAATTACGAGGGCTATTTCAAAATCAGCCTCCGATTGGCTGGTAAAAATAAACTGTTGCCATGACGACACTGTTAATTGCTTGCATCATTTAGTAGTCTTTTAGCTTAGTGCATATCAATGTACAGTCGCTTTTGTTCAGTGGATAACGAGATTATGTTGACACTAATTTCACAGTTGGTGGAAAAGGCAGTAACAGTGTCCATGCTTATTCGTTTGTGATTCGTGAACCACTGAACAAATGTGACTGTAAGCTGGTGTGAAGTAAGCTAAATGACTACTGAATGATGCAAGCAATGAAAGGTGTCACTATGGCAAACAATTTATTTTTACCAGCCTATCAGAGGTTGCTTTTAGAATAGCCCTCACAAACTGTCTCTGTAAGAACAATATATACTACAGAAACTCCTAGAATAGGAAGCCATTTCAGAAGACAAACTACTTAGGTGGTGTACAGTGCTCATGAATGGTCCGAGAAAACAGGACGCCCAAAAGAAACCCTGAGAAGAACACTGACGAGAGAGCCAAATATGCTCAACTGGATTCCATCCTTAATATTGAAACAGATCTACATGATAAAACAGAAAAGAAGAATAAACTGTATGCCCTTTGTAACATGTCTGTAGTTTGGCATGTACCGTAGACACCGTACTTGACAGAAAATAGACACTACAAATACTAAGGACAGAAAGTAGATAATATAGATACTGTGGGCAGAAAGTTGACACTACACACACTGTAGATACAAAGTTGACACAAAAGTTGACACCACACACACTGCAGACACAGAGTGGACAGAAAGTAGACACTACACACACTGTAGATACAAAGTTGACACAAAAGTTGACACTACACACACTGTAGATACAAAGTTGACACAAAAGTTGACACCACACACAATGCAGACACAGTGTGGAAAGAAAGTAGACACTACACACACTGTAGATACAAATTTGACACAAAAGTTGACACTACACACACTGTGGACACAGAGTGAACAGAAAGTTGACAATACACATACTGCAGACATAGAGAGTGGACAGAAAGTTGACAATACACATACTGTAGACATAGAGATTGGACAGAAAGTTGACAGTACACATACTGTAGACATAGAGAGTGGACAGAAAGTTGACAATACACATACTGTAGACATAGAGAGTGGACAGAAAGTTGACAATACACATACTGTAGACATAGAGAGTGGACAGAAAGTAGACACTACACACACTGTAGATACAAATTTGACACAAAAGTTGACACTACACACACTGTGGACACAGAGTGAACAGAAAGTTGACAATACACATACTGCAGACATAGAGAGTGGACAGAAAGTTGACAATACACATACTGTAGACATAGAGAGTGGACAGAAAGTTGACAATACACATACTGTAGACATAGAGAGTGGACAGAAAGTTGACAATACACATACTGTAGACATAGAGAGTGGACAGAAAGTTGACAATACACATACTGTAGACATAGAGAGTGGACAGAAAGTTGACAATACACATACTGTAGACATAGAGAGTGGACAGAAAGTTGACAATACACATACTGTAGACATAGAGAGTGGACAGAAAGTTGACAATACACATACTGTAGACATAGAGAGTGGACAGAAAGTTGACAATACACATACTGTAGACATAGAGAGTGGACAGAAAGTTGACAATACACATACTGTAGACATAGAGAGTGGACAGAAAGTTGACAATACACATACTGTAGACATAGAGAGTGGACAGAAAGTTGACAATACACATACTGTAGACATAGAGAGTGGACAGAAAGTTGGCAATACACATACTGTAGACATAGAGAGTAGACAGAAAGTTGGCAATACACACACTGTAGACATAGAGAGTGGACAGAAAGTTGACAATACACACACTGTAGACATAGAGAGTGGACAGAAAGTTGACAGTACACATACTGTAGACATAGAGAGTGGACAGAAAGTTGACAATACACATACTGTAGACATAGAGAGTGGACAGAAAGTTGACAATACACCATACTGTAGACATAGAGAGTGGACAGAAAGTTGACAATACACATACTGTAGACATAGAGAGTGGACAGAAAGTTGACAATACACATACTGTAGACATAGAGAGTGGACAGAAGTTGACAATACACATACTGTAGACATAGAGAGTGGACAGAAAGTTGACAATACACATACTGTAGACATAGAGAGTGGACAGAAAGTTGACAATACACATACTGTAGACATAGAGAGTGGACAGAAAGTTGACAATACACATACTGTAGACATAGAGAGTGGACAGAAAGTTGACAATACACATACTGTAGACATAGAGAGTGGACAGAAAGTTGACAATACACATACTGTAGACATAGAGAGTGGACAGAAAGTTGACAATACACATACTGTAGACATAGAGAGTGGACAGAAAGTTGGCAATACACATACTGTAGACATAGAGAGTGGACAGAAAGTTGGCAATACACACACTGTAGACATAGAGAGTGGACAGAAAGTTGACAATACACATACTGTAGACATAGAGAGTGGACAGAAAGTTGACAATACACATACTGTAGACATAGAGAGTGGACAGAAAGTTGACAATACACATACTGTAGACATAGAGAGTGGACAGAAAGTTGACAATACACATACTGTAGACATAGAGAGTGGACAGAAAGTTGGCAATACACATACTGTAGACATAGAGAGTGGACAGAAAGTTGACAATACACATACTGTAGACATAGAGAGTGGACAGAAAGTTGACAATACACATACTGTAGACATAGAGAGTGGACAGAAAGTTGACAATACACATACTGTAGACATAGAGAGTGGACAGAAAGTTGACAATACACATACTGTAGACATAGAGAGTGGACAGAAAGCTGACAATACACATACTGTAGACATAGAGAGTGGACAGAAAGTAGCACTACACACACTGTAGACACAGAGTGAACACTAATATAGCACTACACACACTGTAGACACAGAGTGAACACTAATATGGCACTACACACACTGTAGACACAGAGAGAACACTAATATGACACTACACACACTGTAGACACAGAGAGAACACTAATATGACACTACACACACTGTAGACACAGAGTGAACACTAATATGACACTACACACACTGTAGACACAGAGCGGACAGCAAGTAGACCTTACACCTACTATAGTTTTCCTACGTGTAATTTTAAATTTGCTGTTGGTTGTTGTTTATAAACCCTAAAATTTCAAACAGGTTGGTTTCTGCTCATGAAACAACAATGATGTAAACTGGTTGCTATAAAATATTCATGTATACATGCAGTCATCTGTATTGTTTACCTTAATTTTACAGTCTGAGTGGTGTTTCGCCCTTCCACGGAGACAGCTACAAGTCCACCCTCGTCAACATTGCACTAAACCGATACGAGGCGATAGATCTCTATGAGAATATCACCACAGAAGCTCTGAAATTTTTGTTCAAAGTCCTCAAGAGATTACCAAGGTCAGTTTTTCTTAACATGTTTAAAAAAAAAATTATTACAGACAAGAATTGCTTACAAACCTCTCTGACATGTGACAGGTGGTAACTCCCAGCGCCCCAAGATAACTATCCTTTTTGTGTGGTTCAGCCACATGTGTGGGATTTGTTTGTTCCTGTTGGATTAGAAAGTAGCCCTTAAGTCACCCATTGTTCCATATAAGGGTTTTGGGGGGGGGGGGGGGGGGCACAGAAAAAAGTTGTTAAAAGAACATGTTTCAAACAGACAGAATTAAATAATGTAACAACATCATGATGGCTGCCTTAACTTTTTGGGACATTAATTAGTCACTGCCTTTACTTTCTGGGACATTAATTAGTCAGATTTGAAGAATGCTGTTAAGTCATGCTTAAAAACAGAATGAGACAAAGTAACTACTGCTTAACAGCAGAATGAGATACTATAACAAGTGTTTCAGATTGAATGAGATACAGTAACAACTGCTTCCGACAGAATGAAATAAAGAAAGTAACAACTGCTTCAGATAGAATGAAATAAAGTAACAACTGCTTCAGACAGAATGAAATAAAGTAACAGCTGCTTCAGACAGAATGAAATAAAGTAACAACTGCTTCAGACAGAATGAGATAAAGTAACAACTGCCTCAGACAGAATGAAATAAAGTAACAACTGCTTCAGACAGAATGAAATAAAGTAACAACTGCTTCAGACAGAATGAAATAAAGTAACAACTGCTTCAGACAGAATGAGATAAAGTAACAACTGCTTTAGACAGAATGAAATAAAGTAACATCTGCTTCAGACAGAATGAAATAAAGTAACAAAGGCTTCAGACAGAATGAAATAAAGTAACAACTGCTTCAGACAGAACAAAATAAAGTAGCAACTGCCTAGGACTAATGTTCTCAAGGTATAACCAAGTTCTTTTTTCCAGTTTCAAAGTAATTCTGTTTTTTAAATGTTGCACATGTCTCTTGGTCACTGCCATTGTGCTCATCTTCAGAAACCGGCCCAGCCTGCAAGACTGTCTGGACCACAAGTGGCTGTATCTGACAGAGCAGGCAATCAAGGAGAGAGAGGACACAGTCTTCCTGTCCAACAATCTGGCCTCTTTTGTTCAGAACTATGACAGGGTCCGACAGAGTGAACATTACCTTCTGTCTTTTGAAGATGAACAACTGCCTGTTCAGATGTCAACAGAAAGGAAGGAAGGAGATAAACAGGTGAGAGGGGTTGTTCAGACATGGTGGATGTATTTAAACAGGTTCAGAGGGTATCTATTGGGATGTGGTCAAGTTGTTTGCCTTACGATCTCAAGACCAGGGGTTCATTTTACGGACACGTCATTCATTTAATAAGTTCATTTTTGCCCTCGGAGATCCTGGGAATGATTGCTAAAAGGTATTTTTGTGAGTGACTCTCACAGAGGCTGGCCATTCTGCACAGAGAGAGACTGAGCCATAGAAGATAAAAACCCAGTGCAGGAAGTTGATCCTTTCAACTTTGACTTTATATTTTAAACAGAGGGTGACGATATTTTAAAAGAAGATTAACTCTTGAAAATAAATGTTATATTATGTGGACATGTTCTATAAAGTGGTCACCACATCAACAATTTAAAAGCTGCACGGGAGATAGACAGAGGAAAATACAGAGGGATGATGGTGGACATTGTAAAATGGATGAATTTCTCCTTCATCCTCTTGTGGCTTCTGGGGCCCTTGGAAAGGCTGGGGGCAGACCTACAACTCATTAACAAGCATGTTGTGAAAATTGACTAAACAAGGATTTGCTGAAATCAGATGGGTCAAAAGGTACAGATATCATAACCTAGCTTTAAACCACATCACAATGTGCCCCCAGCCATTTAAATGATAAATGCCGAAGAAGAAGAAGAAGAAAAAGAAGTGGCTGTGTCCTACCTTATGTGTGTGTCCTTTCCTGAGTAGGTGTCACACCTTATGTGTGTGTGTGTCCTTTCCTGAGTGTCCTACCTTGTGTGTGTCCACCCTTTCCTGAGTAGGTGTCACACCTTGTGTGTGTGTGTGTCCTTTCCTGAGTGTCCTACCTTGTGTGTGTCCACCCTTTCCTGAGTAGGTGTCACACCTTATGTGTGTGTCCTTTCTGAGTGTGTCCTACCTTACGTGTGTGTGTCCTTTCATGAGTAGGTGTCACACCTTATGTGTGTGTCCTTTCTGAGTGTGTCCTACCTTACGTGTGTGTGTTCTTTCCTGAGTAGGTGTCACACCTTATGTGTGTGTCCTTTCTGAGTGTGTCCTACCTTACGTGTGTGTCTCCTTTCCTGAGTAGGTGTCACACCTTATGTGTGTGTCCTTTCTGAGTGTGTCCTACCTTACGTGTGTGTGTCCTTTCCTGAGTAGGTGTCACACCTTATGTGTGTGTCCTTTCTGAGTGTGTCCTACCTTACGTGTGTGTCTCCTTTCCTGAGTAGGTGTCACACCTTATGTATGTGTCCTTTCTGAGTGTGTCCTACCTTACGTGTGTGTGTACTTTCCTGAGTAGGTGTCACACCTTGTGTGTGTGTGTGTGTGTGTGTGTGTGTCCTTTCCGGAGTGTCCTACCTTGTGTGTGTATGTCCTTTTCTAACTAGGTGTCACACCTTATGTGTATGTGTCCTTTCCTGAGTGTGTCCTACCTTGTGTGTGTGTTCTTTCTTGAGTAGGTGTCACACCTTGTGTGTGTGTGTGTATGCATGCGTGCGTGCATGCATGTATGTGTGTGCCCCCCCTCCCTTTCCCGAGTAGGTGTCACACCTTGTGTGTGTGTGTCCTTTGCTGAGTATGTCCTACCTTGTCTGTGTGTCCTTTCCTGAGTGTGTCCTACCTTGTGTGTATGTTATGTCCTGAGTGTTTCCTACCTACTGTGTATATCCTGTCCCGAATGTGTGTCCTATCTTGTATGTGTGTGTATGCGTGTGTGCCTGCATAAACATGTGCGTGTGTGTATCATTTCCTAAGTGGGTATCCTACCTTGTGTGTATGCCCCTTCCTGAATGTGTATCCCTTAAATGGGCATCCTACTCTTCATGCAAGTCTTATCGTGCCAATATCCCATTTTCTCCTCATAAACAGTGGCCTCTCCTGAGAGTGTGAGTCCTATGTGGAACTGATTATTTGTTCTCTCATCCACCAACAGTACAAATTATGGATTCCTCATTGATATTTATTTTCAGATCTAAAGTAGACAGCCAGTTGCCAGATGTTTCATAGCCAGGTCACAGATCTCAGGATTCAAGCAAACGTGAACAAATAGTTATATATTACCAGGTTGCCTATCATATACAGTTTGTTTTATTGAATTTTCTCCACTGTTCTAGTTTGCTACAGTTATTTTTTCTGTAGTTTCTGTTTTGTTTCTTGGGCTAACATATTTTTCCTTATCAAATTGATGTCATGTGTTATATTTTGGTATTTTTGGTTGACAGACTGTCACATGCTATGTTATTTTGCTGTGAGAGTTGTAGTTATTTCACAAGTTATATCTTATTTGTGTTACATACAAGAACAGTTACAGAATATTTGTATAATCATTGTATTTAATTATTTGTGTGTGTGCTAAACACAGACAGCAGAAGATAGACTTTGAAAGTTTATCAACAGACAGATGTGACAGTCAGTTGTTTCACACACATGAAAAACTGGTGTAACTGTCTTACCCTTTCAAAAACATAATGGGACAATTTCACATTTGTGTCTAGTTTCTGAAGTCAGCTGCAAAGATTACAAAGATTTATGCTTACTTACGTTTATCCCTCTTGGTTTTTTTCTTATTTACAAAACCTAATATCGTGATCTTATTTGTTGTCTCAGTGAGCGGTTCTCAAACTGGGTGCCATGAGAGTATGCCATAGATGCCACGACAGTAATCAAGAAAAGTCAGCTAAACATCATGAAATTATTAAAGAAGACATGCAGATACTTAAGAGTTCAAATTTAAGTTGTTTTCCTTCACCACTGTCAAAAAGAGTATTGTTTGTTCTCACCCTCAGACATGTTTCATACTGCATAAAATGCCAACCGCAAGGTGTCAAATTTTGTCCTTTTATCTATCTCGGGGTGCGACCAATCCTCTACCAGCATTCTTTAAGGTCAAGTTGATAAGTAAAGTTTTGGTTACATTGTCTCAGCAGACACCTGTGAGCCTAAGCCATCCAAGTTGGCCTGCCTCAGTTTGTGGAAAGGCAACTCACGACCGAAAGAAAATCCGAGGAAAACTAAGAAAATATGATCCTAGCTACCTCATTTTGTTTGGCTTTGTTTTTGGTTGGGAATAACCAGGCATCGGAAGGGCAACGCGTTAACTTCTATAGGGAAGTTGCAAACAGATGCTGGGTTCCATCCAAATTAGTCATCTGGAATGCAATTATTCTGATTTAGTACATAAAGGTTAGGAAATCTTCAAATGCTTTTACCTCTTCAAGCTAGGTCATCCATGATGGAGAGAATTTTAAAAAATGAAAATGAAACAATGAATAATTCATCCAAACAGTTTCATTCATCGCATTAAAGACAACTGAGTAACACATTTGCACTGTTTTTTTCTTCTTTCCCTAAATATTCAACTGCTTTAAGGGTAGGTCTGCCGCAACACATAATTTAACCCCTCAAGGGTGCCGCTGCGAAAAAAGTTTGAGAACTGCTGGTCTAAGATGTTTGCTGCAAACAGATTTTATAGACTGCCAAAATATATCCAGATAACAATTAGTATAAACTGCTGAACTATAGGTTTACTGATCATTCTATGACTGAAGCTGTATGTGCTCTAACCCTTCCTTGTTTTGTGTACTTCACATACATGCACATGCTTGCACAACACCAGACATATGTTTGTCATTATGACTTGTAGGCATTTATAAATTATTGACATATGTATTCACATCAACACTATGTGATAAGCAACTCTTAGAATGATACACTGTGACAGCGTTGTTCACATACTGCACTGTTTATTGACTAGTCTCAATTGTAGCCCTTTATTGTATATCCAGTCTGCATAGTCTAGATCAGTATTTATCTATGGTTATTTTATGTTTACAAGATGTTTTTGTGTGGCTGAGGTTATGGCCACCTTGTGTGATACAGTGGCTAGCGGTTCCATCTTAAACGGTTACAAGTTCTGTTTTAGACGGTTACAGGTTCTGTCTTGGATGATTACAAGTTCTGTCTTGGATGATTACAGGTTCTGTCTTGGATGATTACAGGTTCTCGCTCAGACAGCTTAAGGATTAAAAGCTGTAATGTGCAATATTTTCTACTGGGTGTTTCAAGTGACATTTCTTTGGCAGAGCGTTAGCAGATCCACTTTTGGCTTGAATGACAGGCATTCAGAATCTGCTGACTGTGATTATGATCTGAATGGTGGCCATTGCTCATGTTGATAAATGTATGACAGAAATATTCAAGATTACAAATGTGCAATATTTTATCTTCTTATTAATTTATTTTAAAATACAATATGTTTGATTGTAGTAGTTCGTTCTCGCTGGGACATCTCCTTGGTTGGCTCAGTGTTCTCTTGAAGTTGTTGGTGACATGCATTTAGTTATTGGACTGATGTGTATTGTATTAGTTCTTGTGGAGGTGGATTTCATTTGAGATGGCATTGCAGAGATGGGTTTTAATTTATATATCACTGAGGCAGTGGCTTTCATCACATATGTCACCTAGGACAGTTTAGGGATGGACATCTTATGAATTATAGAGATGGGTTATAGTGTAAATGACATTGCGGCTGTGAGGGAGATGGGTTATATCGGGGATGTTATTGAGACCATTATAGAGATGGGTTAATATTGTACATGTCACTGAGGCCATTATAGAGATGGGTTATATTGTAGATGTCACTGAGGCTGTTATAGAGATGGGTTATATTGTATTTGTCATTGAGGTCATTATAGAGATGGGTTATATTGTAGATGTCATTCAATTCATTATAGAGGTGGGTTATATTGTATACGTCCTCAAGGCCATTATAGAGATGAGTTATATTGTATATGTCAGTAAGATCATTACAGAGATGGGTTATGTTATAGAAGTCATTGACATGAGTACAGAAATGGTCGATACAGTGGATGTCATTGATACCCTAGGATACAGTCATGTCTACATGGAAGATTCTCTAGAAGGAGTCATTTATCTATCGACATTTAAATTTTTTCATTTTT